AGATAATAAAAGTCCTTACAAACGTACACAGTGCAATAGAGGATGAATGTGACACACTAGCTATATGCAAAAGCAATGAGCATGTGATAAATACAAGCATCTACGAGCTACTATAGGAGATTTTTTAGTGCACGATATCTCGTCTACAAGAAGCAGCGGGTGACCCATAGGGAGAATAGCATTGTGGGATCAAGGGAGTAAGAGAGAGAGTTTACAAATGGAAACTTTGACCAACATCTATCTTATTCCTCCATGAGTCAAGGCTTTACTTGAGGGAAACTCCAGAAGAATCTCTTGGAGTCAAAGAGCCACTAGCTACTCTGCCACACCATTGGTAAAAGGGATTCAACTACTCTGCCTCACCGGGTTAGTGGAAGAGATTTTTGTAAGGACTTCTTTGTGTTGCTATGGGAGGAAAAGAAGAGAGACACTAAAGAGTTTGTTCAATACCCAAAGAGGAGGACTCCAAGGAATTAAAGTAGGTCAAGTTGACTGAACCACTATAAAATTATGGTGTGCTTGTTCTTTATTTTTCACAATATATTCTCTTGCATATTTATTTCATGCAATCTAGTTTGTGTTGTGATTATTGAGATGCAAAACTTGTGATTTATTAAGGTAAAATTTTAGTTGAAAATAAAATAAAATCAAAAAAGAAAAAGAACAAAAAATATATATTTATTTTTCTTAAAAAAATACAAAAGATAAAAAAAAGAATTTTTGTTTCATTATTCATTTCTGCATTAAGAAAATTTGATTTTAATTTTAAGTTGTAAATTTGGTTTAAACACTATAGGAAATTCAAGCATTACCGGCGGTCCTATAGCCACCGGTATTACTGGCGGTTCAACCAGTGGTCTAACCACCGATATTGACCGCGGTAATAAACCACCACCGGAATTAGTGGCAGTATAATATCCCCTGACAAGGGCGCCGATTTTATGTTAAGGCCGTCAGTTTTTAGTGATTTTTTTTGCTGTCCAAAATGCTGGAAATGGCCTTAATTTTGGCCAACCCAAGCCTTCCTCTTCATTTCTTTGGTTTCTCTTTTGCTGCGCCCCCATTCTCCGGCCGCTCACGATCACGCCTCCGAGTGACTGTGAAAGAATCCGGCCGCCGACAACCTCTCCCTGGACGGCTATCTTGCCCCCACTCCAACAGCTGAGCATGCCCATATTCTACATGCGAAAGTTGTCGATCAGCAACAATTCTAAACCAAATATAGGTTTGTTTTTTTTTTCTTTCTCAAATTTACAATAGGTGGTTTGAATAAGTATTTTCCTATTTCAATTGGATTAAATCAAGGATCAGCATTAAGCCCATATCTTTTTGCTTTAGTCATGAATGTTCTCAATAGACATTTACATGAGGATTTACCTTTGTGTTTGCTTTTTGCTTGTGATATTGTTCTTGTTGATAACACTAGGGAGGGAGTTCAAGTTAAACTTGAATTATGGAGGTCAACCTTAGAGTCTATACCTTGGTGTTTTCTTTTTGCTCATGATATTCTTTTTATTGATAAGACTATAGAGGGAGTTCAAGGTAAACTTGAATTATGGAGGTCAACAAGCTTAGAGTCTATACTTTTGTGTTTGCTTTTCCTTAGAGGATGTACCTTTGTGTTTGCTTTTTGCTCATGATATTCTTCTTATTGATAAGAGTATAGAGGGAGTTCAAGGTAAACTTGAATTATGGAGGTCAACCTTAGAGTCTTTACCTTGGTGTTTACTTTTTGCTTATGATATTCTTCTTATTGATAAGACTAGAGAGGAAGTTCAAGGTAAACTTGAATTATGGAGGTCAACCTTAGAGGATGTACCTTTGTGTTTGCTTGTTGCTCATGATATTCTTCTTGTTGATAAGACTAGAGAGGGAGTTCTAAGTAAACTTGAATTATGGAGGTTAACCTTAGAATCTATACCTTGGTGTTTGCTTTTTGTTTATGATATTCTTCTTGTTGATAAGACTAGAGAGGGAGTTCAAGGTAAACTTGAATTATGGAGGTCAACCTTAGAGGATGTACCTTTGTGTTTGCTTGTTGCTCATGATATTATTCTTGTTGATAAGACTAGAGAGGGTGTTCAATATAAACTTAAATTATGGAGGTCAACCTTAGAGTTTATACCTTGGTGTTTACTTTTTTTTTCATGATATTCTTCTTGTTGATAAGACTAGAGAGTTAGTTTAAGATAAACCTAAACAGGCTGATGAAAGTGAGGGGTAGAGATCAGTTCCACTAATGATACCATCACCACCACCACCCAGAGTAGTGAGAGGCAGAGATTAGTTCTACCAATGATACCATCACCACCACCATGCAGGAGTCAGTAGCAGTCCCCCAGTGAGCAGTGCCAGGGCCAGTTAGATCCACCTATTATTGGTGTACCACCACCCTTTCCTAAGTACTTCCCTCCTGCGTCGATAAGTCCTTTTCCC